CGTGATGTGAGTGCCTGTTGTGTCGAGTGGTAAACGAAGATATGTTTCCTCATTTACGAGTTTCGAAAACGAAGACGGAAATCATTCACTCATGTGTCGAAAATAAACATGTAAACTGACGAGAATGTTCCAACATGCTGAGCTGAATATCCTAAATTATCTCAGAGTTAAATGCACTTCAACTTCGTATATTTTACTTCCAAATAGTTTTGCATGTTTTCGCTTTGAATTTTCATCAGGTATTTGTTTACGTCGAGCCAGGCGCATTACACAACTAAACCATTCAAAATACTTTAGAACCACCAGTATACGAAGGATATTTCAATTATGGATACTTTATTTGAAAATCTTATGCTTCGCTAGAATCGGAGATTTGAAATAAGTGGACTTTTTGAATCTCTGGGAAGGCCAGTCAGCCAGCCGATATGTCTTCACTTGTTGAAAGCAACAATCAGAATGTGGATACGGCAGGTCTGTACTATCTACGAGACTTGGAATTCTGCTGAAGTAGCCTGCACCATGCGAAGATATGCCGTACAAACTTTAGGTATCTTTCTGCGAGTGCAAATGGAATGCATGTAGATTATCGAAATCATCAAGCAAACAGCCAGTATTCTAGTGCAATCTGGTCACACCGACGTAGTGACTGTCTAATATGATGTCACAAGTGACATACAAAGCCTTTATAAAGTGGGACTCAGTTTCATCCAGGATTATGACAGCAAGATTCAACCCAAAAGGAAAGAAGGAAGGTCACAATTATCCAATGCTACGCACCTATAAAAAACGCGGAACAATAGAATAAGGAAGAGTTTTACAGACAACTGCAAACAGCAATCGACAGAATACTGAATGGCGTCATCAACATCCTAGTGGGCGCTGTGAATGCTAGCTGAATTGGAGGCAGATAATACAGGAAGAGAACTCATCATGGGACGAGTGTCTCTGGCTTGGCGAATTGAATGAGAACGGCGAACTATTGCAGACTTCTGCACTTTCGATGATTTGGCGCCCGTCAGCAGCGTGTACAGCACAAAGATATACACGGTTCAAAATGGATTCTTCCTGACGGACACACCACAAACCAGACAGAATTCATCCGAATGCAGCTCAAGGAAGTGGAGACGCAGCATACTGTATACAATATCGAGAAGTGGAAACTTCAAGATGAAGCTGAAATCCCTGAAATAAAGTAGGACCAGGCCGCAAATCAAGTCCAGTATTCACAAATTGATGGACACAACTACAGGGGATGCCTTCGCTACAGTTCAGATCAGAACAAAGTCGGACACACTACGTGTCATCACTGAGGAAAACTGTGTGGAAGAACATTGGAACTAACTCTCCGAAAGCGACATTTAAGGAAACGTGTATAACTGTTCTACGGAGAAGGAAGAGACAAGACAAGGAATGGCTGTCGACGGATACATGGAAGCTGATCGAGGAGAGGAGGATGAGGAAAGAGAAGGTGACTAGGTGAAAAGATTGGCAACAGAAGGAGAAGCTGAGTCTAATGTACACTGCACTGAATAAAGAAGTGCTAAGAAAAACAAACGACAATTCTACGACACACTGGCCGGCAACTGAAGCAGAAACATCTGGTCGGAGGTAAAAGAGACCTGGAAGACATTATATTAAATAACCAAGTCACTATCAGGGAAACGATTAACCCAGATGGTGAAACCGATAAAAAATGATCAAGGGAAACATATTACCAAGAAGATGAACAAATCGAAAAAACTTTCGCTCGTTCACGCAGTATGAGAGCGATCAACGAATCCATATTTCCATGAATGTTGAAGAATTTTGCTACGTCCATGGGGATGATAGAGATTGCTAAACGAAAATATCTTCGCTCATCTTCGAGAATCGGGAACGAATACTGAAACTATTCACTCATGTGGCAAAAATAAACATGTAAACTGACGAGAATGTTCCAACATGCTGAGCTGAATATCCTGATTTATCTCAGAGTTAAATGCACTTCAAGATATACTCCTATGACTGTTGACGCGACAATGTACGCAGACATCAATTCTACGACGCTTCGAAGGCAAGCTGCAGTATACCTATATATGTGTATGAGATTCGGTCGCCTGATGTGGGTGGGTCACATGATTCGCGTAAATTGAGAGTCAACTATGCTCAGGATAAGTTTCAGGCGAACAGAGTTTGAACGACATTCCAACACGTCCTAATGACAGACAGGGATTACATGACGATGACCAGATATTTGTCCATTGCATAATGCGGTCTCTAGACATACAGGGTTCCAGAGTTTAGGCCATTTGAAGAAAAGAGATGTAGATGAACCGTAAAATCCAGTGGAAGAGCATTTTCTACATAACCAGCATACACAAGTGTGTAATATAAATTTTACATCACATAATGTGCTTACATTTTCCTAAATTCGCATGAACACGATTGGAGAGAAAATTGCAGGAGATAGTTTCAAAGTAGATAGAGGAAACAGAGAAGCGAGACAAAGACAATTAATATCGATACAGGGAGACATATCTCAATGTATGCACACATGTGTCTCAAGCACTCCTTAATTTTCAGACGGAATCTCAGGAGTCGAGCTGATTGCTGCAGATTTCACCACTCCCTGTTCACAAGTCAGCATCAATCATCTCGAATTCACGGTATGTTCGCAGGATTTCCATAACGATTCGAAGCTATCACTTCTCACTTCATTTCGAAATTATGTGCTGTGTTCCACGACTGACTACCTCAGTGCAACACATGTGTGGGATTTCCCAGCCTCACTGATGGCAATTTTCATTACATCTGATTGGATGACGTGTCTCACCTGATCTACCTCTCTTCTCCTAGACCACTGGGATTTACCTAATCTGTTTGGTTCCTCACTCCATCGAGTGAGAATCTGACGGCTGCACAACCATTCACTCACCAATTGAAACCATCACATGAAATCGGAAAACGTGTTTGTAGAATCACTAATTTCATTAATGGAAATCCGAATCCTCATCGACATTGTTATCATCATATTCGACTTCTCACACTGACACAGATCTCTGTACTGGCACCTGTCTTGAGGTCTCAAGAATTGGATAGAAATCGTATGATGCCGTCATCAACACTGCTTTAACACTGTTACTACACAAAATCAGTTCGTTTAAACCGTGGAGACAGGTTTTCTTCTACCTTGTCTCTTACAGCGTAACATGCAACTTCATTATTTTCAAAACGGCTACAAATCGAATGAAGAACATATTTGAACATGATGTGACAGACACTTTCATGTACGTCGGATATGTTTTCTGAACAGGATCATAACATCCTCCGATCAAGACACTTCAGAACACAGCAACCTGTTATTTCGAATGCAAATGGAAACCTCAGTGGATTTCTCAATGTTCACAGCTGTCGAGAAATCATCTCAGCTGCAATCGGTCGTGAGTGATGGTTGAAATCTAGTGACAATGTATGAAAACAAATATCGAGGGTAATTTGTTACGACGGTTAATCAAGCTTACCAGTTTCTGGTTACAAACGGACAAAGATCGTCAAAAGAATTATCATCAAATATTCTTCGACTGTAATTCCATTATGGTTAAATTTTGTTTTGATAAAGTCTCACAGCGTTATACAGTAATGTTTGCTGATGACGTTTCGAGCACAATTTTATGGAAACAAAATTTACCCATAATGGAATTACACTCTACCACAGTGCACAAGTTTTATTCTTATATCAATTCTTCGATTGTGTTCATCTTCACTCGAATCATAAAGTCAAAGTTGATAACCGAATGTTTTTTTCATATTAAATTCACCGAAATCTTTCAGTTGTAATTTTACTGGTGAATTCAACCTCTATTGTACTTCTCTTTTTCTAGTTTTTTTTTCGTTTTCATTTCCGGATGGAAAGGATTGTTTGGGCAGGATTTCAGCATATTGACTCCTTAAACCCAACCAAACCCCTACGGATTCTTCAACTATCCTTGTTTTGATTGGATCCTAGTAACTAGCGTGACGTTTCTAGTCCTTTCTTTGGTGCAGACTGAAATTTTTCAGTCAGGTTTGCAAGGAGCCTTTATTCTGGGTAGCTTGACATCACCCTGCACTTTGATTTGATGATATTAGATGGTACTTTTCGCTGATTCGTGCCAACTAGCACGAATACTAGTTTTAAGGCCTACTGCCGATTGCGTCCAACCATCTAATAGTATCCTTATTTTTCGTTGGAATCGCTCAAGTGAAATGACGCACGCTGGTGATTGACTTCGGGAAGCCAGTCACCCGATGTACCTTCTTTCGATGAATGCAAAAGTATAGATTGATAAGTGTAATGTTGGTACAATGTACGAAAAGTGTAACGGTCCCCAGATAGCCGGAGAAACGAGGATATATAGAATAGAAGTGTTGGGAATCTAAGAGAGCAGATAGAACGCATGTGGTAATTGCCAACTACCAACTGAGGATACACTAATCCATTCCGGTCACACTGAGGACAACCACGAGCTCACCGAGAGACTGGTCATCATGATGTCACCAACAGCAGCCGAAGCTCTCATGCAGTAAGAACCAATCTCCTCCAGGAAAACGACAGGCAGGTTCAACTCAAAAGGAAGGAAAGTTACAGTCATTCAATGCTATGCGCCTACAAACTTCTCAGAACAAGAGAAGAAGGAGGCGTTCCACAGACAACTACAAACAGTAATGGGCAACGACCCAAATGGCGATATCGAATTCCTGATGGGCGACATGAATGCGAAGCTGGGAGGAGACAACACAGAAAGAGAACTCACTATGGGTCGAGAGGCACTCGGTGAAATGAACGACAATGGTGAACTCTTCTCAGACTTCTGCGCCTTCAATGATTTCGTGATTGGCGGTAGTGTGTTCAAACACAAGGATATACACAATGTGACATGGATTTCACCAGATGGAAACACCAAAAACTAGATAACTTCATTTCAATCTCAAGGAAGTGGAGACGGAACCTACTGGACACAAGGTCGAGGAGAGGAGCAGATGTGGGTTCAGACCACTATGCAGTACTAGGGAATCACAAGGTGAAGCTAAAAGCCTCGACGATAGCTGAAGATAGGCCACAATGCGAAATCAACACTCAAAAACTGAAGGACGCAACCACAATTGACACTATCAATGCAACTGTCAGAGCAAAGCATAAAACACTACGTGACATCACTGAGGAATCATGCACGGAAAACCACTGGAACTCTCTGAAGGCGATTTTCAACGAAACATGATCAATAGTTCTAGGAAGAAAGAAGAGACAAGAAAAGGAATGGCTCTCAATGGACACTTGGAAACTAATAGAAGAGAGGAGAATGGTGAAGGAGAAAATGATTCAATGCAAGGACGGACAGGAGAAGGAGACGCTGAGCTCAACTTACAAAGCACTGGTCAAAGAAGTAACGAATAATGCTAGGAAGGACAAAAGACGATTCTACGACAGTCTGACCACTGAAGCTGAGAAGGCAGCAGGCAAAAGGGACCTGAGAACATTATATCAGATAACCAAAAATCTATCTGGGAAGAAATCAACACAAGTGAAATCTGTGAAAGACAGCCAAGGGAACCCAATTATCAAGGAAGGAAGAGAGATTACACAATGGGCGGATCACTTCAAAGCACTCTTGAACCGACCATCACCTGCAACCCATCCAGAAACGTACACATCTGCAAGTTGACACCAATCTTCCAACGAAAGCTGAAGTCCTGAATGCAATCTAACTTCTGAAAGCTGGAAAAGCGGCTGGACCAGATGGAATACCCCCTGAAGCACTGAAAGCGGACCCAGAAACTATAGCAGACATGCTGACTCCATTATTGCAACATGTCTGGAAGGAGGGAAAATTGCCTTCTGATTAGAGGAAAGGTTACCTCGTGAAACTACCAAAGAAGTGAGACTCAAGACTCTGCAAGAACTAGCTAGGAATCATGCTCCTGTCGATGCCAAGTAAAATCCTGAGTCGCATCATAGGACGCACTGGATACAGAACTCCGACCAGAACAAGCTGGATTCAGGAAAGGCAAATCATGTTCTAACCGAATTGCAACTCTACGAATCATCATCGAACAAAGTATGGAATGACGATCAAACCTCTACCTCAACTTTATAGACTTCGAGAAGGCCTTCGACAGTGCAGCGTTGACCGTGAAGTAATTCGGAAACTACTCGAATACTACGGCGTACCCCAAATATCCATCAACCTTACTCAGCAACTGAACGACAAAGGCACATGTCAAGTGATCCACAACGGAAACTCAGCGAGACGTTTGGAGTAAAAACAGGAGTCAGACAGGCGAGCTTATTATCACCGATGATATTCCTAATTGTGGTGGACTGGAATATGTGTCAGACAGTAGGAAACGAGAAGACAGGGATATCCTGAACCGATATGAAGAACCTAGAAGACCTGAATTTCGCGCGTGGATGATTTATGTTCGATGTGACACAAAATCGAAGACTTACAGGCGAAAACCGGCAAACTGGTCGAAGAAGCAGCCGATGAAGACAGGACTCCAGGTTAACATAGACAATACGAAGGTGATGAAAATAACCAACCAACAACAACAGCGAAAGCAGCAACATCCAGCGTCAATCTTAATCAATGGGAGCGATTTTAAAGAGGTCACTTCATTCACTTATCATCTAGGGAGTATTGCCTCAACTACAGGAGGAGCGGATGAGGATGTCAAATCGAGCGAAAATCGAGAAGGCGAGAAACACATTTATCAATCTGAAACCAATCTGGAAATCATCGTCACTCAGCATAACAACAAAATTCGGTCGGATTTTCAATACAAACGTCAAGTCAGTCAGATCTTCTATACGGATCAGAAACTTGTCGGGTCACAAAGAGTGTTTGCAACAGCCTGTTTCAGACCTTTATCGGCAACTGTCTTCTCTGGATCTCTAATGGAGATCAGATGGCCGCATCGGAAAGAATCACCAACAAGGAACTATGGGAACAAGAACCAATCGCACGACAACAAATATGAAGAAGAAAGTAGAGATCGATTAGAGAATCGCTGAGGAGGCCTGTTGGTGACACCGCGCGTCAGGCCCCGTGTGTAAACCGAAAGGGTAGCGGCGAGTGAAAAGTTCAAAGGTGACATGGAGCAGATAGTGTGAAGAGGAGTCAAACAGAATGGAATAACATGGAGGCAAATTAAAAGAACAGCAGAAGAAAGAAGCAAGTGAAGATGTGAAGTTGAAGCGCCATGTTCCACAAGGAAACAAAAGCAACAGTAATAAATATAAAAGATAATGCAAATGTATGCGTATGCACTCAGAAATATGTAGGATGACTGACTAACTAATGCCATTCTTCTCAGTTTTCTCTACCTATTCTCCGTGTCTGTTCGATGATGTTGGCTTATATTTTGACGAATTCACGGTATGTATGATTTCCATTCATTCTTGTGTTCAGTAAAACAAATTTTCTAAAGGAATGAATGATTTCCTCACGTGAAATTGATAGTCTCACCGCAGTTCCTGTTTTCACACAAACTAGAAATACCTCCAATTCCCAAGTGATATCATCTACCTTCTGGATACTTATGTGTTTTTGGAGAAACTTTATTTTACGGGCTAAATTTTCGTCAGTCGTTTTAATTGCATTCCGTTCCACCTTTGTTGTTCTACGTGAAGTTGTCTTCTATTTTGCCGGTGTTTAAACGGACATTTTTATTTCTTGGCGTCTTTTGGTTCTTCCTTATTTGAATTTCTTCACTTTTCTTCATTTCGGCTTTATGTTTCCTCTCAAGTATGCTATGATCACACAATCTGAGAGCGATCAGCGAATCCACAGTTCCGTGAATGGTGAAGTGTTTCGTGAAGTGAGTGCCTGTTGTGTCGAGTGGTAAACGAAGATATGTTTCCTCATTTACGAGTTTCGACAACGAAGACGGAAATCATTCACTCATGTGTCGAAAATAAACTTGTAAGCTGACGAGAATGTTCCAACATGCTGAGCTGAATATCCCGATTTATCTCAGAGTTAAATGCACTTCAAGATATACGCCTATAACTGCTAACGCAGATAAAACCATGAAATCCAGAGGAAAGCTAGAATCCCTAATATTGGTAATATTCTAATTTACACCGAGTTGTTTGCTCACCTGCTCCTAAATTCGAACGAAAATGATTGGTGGGATAATTAACTTTGATAAAAGAAAAGATCGATGAATGTTATACAAATGGAGAGAAAGTAAACGAATATCAATACATAAAGGAATACTTCATTTTATGCACATTCATAAATCAGCCAATACGTAACTGTCAGATCAGAACTCAGCAGTCAAGCTGATTGCTGCAGACTTCAACTATCACTGTTCACAAGTCAGCGTCAATCATCTCCAATCATAGTATGTTTGCAGGATTTCCATTATGATTCGAAGCTTTCACTTCTCATTTCATATCGAAATTATATGCTGTGTTCCACCACTGAATACCTCAGGAAACAAAGGTGTGAGATTTCCCTTCAGTGCATCAGATGCTGTCCGATCATTCCTGCGAGCTATACCAATCTGATAAGAACTGAAAAAGGAGCAATACAGGCGGCACAGAACATTCCAAACATTCAATCACCATCGCAATCACACAAATTGAAAAAGTGTGGTATGAAATTTTATCTCAAAATATGTACTTACTTGTTGCTAAATTCGCATCAAGCAGAGTGAAAGAAAATTACACAAGGTAAGTAGCCAATCTACATAGGGGAGACACAACATCGACACAAAGAAAATGTATATAGAAATCGAAAACATTATCTCGAAGTATGCAAACACGTGTCTGAGTCAAACCCAAACAAACAGTTCAAAACTCAATAGATGAAAGGATCATTGAGGATTTCACCACTCTCTGTTCACAAGTCAGCATCAATCATCTCGAATTCACAGTATGTTCTCAGGATCTCCATAACGATTCGAAGCTGTCACTTCTCATTTCATTTCGAAATTATGTACTGTGTTCCACGAATGACTATCTCAGTGGAATACAGGTGTGGAATATTTCAGTGGCATCGGTGGTAGTCTTCATCATTTGGGATTGCATTGAGTCCGTTGAGCTCTTTCTCTCTGTTCTATAAAGGAACATCCTCGGAAGTGCAGGCTCCATTTCACAGACTCACGAATGTGAATTGAACTGCGACACAACGTGTTTCAGGCTACATTACAACCACTCAAACACCAACGAAAAACAATTACACTTAAATAGAGAAAATATTCACGAAATCACTGGTTTTCTCAAGCTTTATTCACATCCTATTGACCTCCATTATCAAATTCAGTCAATTTCATTTAGACAAAATACTGTACTTGCTTATGTTGGAGGACCTCAAAAAACTATGATAATACGATCAACACTGTTCTCAGACATCGGAGCTACACAGTGGTAATGCTTTTCGACAATCGAGAAGAGTTTCTCTCATCATATATCTTCATTGATAGATGTAGCTTCTGTATCCTAACAGTAGCTGTGCGTTCAACTGAAGGAGAATCTCAAGTGCTCTAGCTGAATGTTCTTACTCCACAACATCGGGTATTGTTTTCCAAGACTCAAATCTCTGACATTTGAAAGTCACCAGAAATCATGTTATTATGCTACAACACTTCCCAGAGTATTTCACCCACTTCCAATGCAGTAGGAATTCATATTGTTTGGTTGATGACCATTGGTGATGTAGATGTTTAGTCACACACGCCTTTGTTTCACATTTATTCACGATTATATGTGTATATACATTTAAATGTCAGTGAGTCTGCCCTAATAGTTTCAGACTTCCAAGCGATTCCCTGTAATCCCCTCATATTTTCAAACGGTTTCAATTTTGCGTGGGACGCACGGATGAAGAACTATGTGACCGATTATGAAATAACTTGAGTGGGGTGTTGAGAAACTTACGAGGATCTAACAAATAGCAAAGATGAACAAATTTGAATGCGGAAAGTTTTAAATCAAATTGAGTAAATTCATCTATCAGACGACCAGAAATGAGGAAGCGTACAGCTGTACAAAATGAAAGCAAAACATTACATAGACAATTGACAATACGATGCGTCCTATATAAACCTACAGATATAGCGGACAAACTCAGGACGGACGAAATCGCATTATTATATTCATAGTATTCAACATGGACTGTAGGTGTGTATAAGTTGTAGAAGCGACTGAATGTGACTTTCAAGAAAAGCGTTATACAAGAAAGTATATTTCACAAAAACACCTTTATAAAAATAACAATGACATCTCAAAGTGAATTTGACAAAGAAAGCACAGTCATTTTCTCAATTTCATGAGAAATACTCCACTGTGGCCTCTAAGAAGCTATGATAGTGAAAAGCGAAACCATGGTTCTGTGAATGGTGAAGAACTTCCGTGAGTTGGTGCGTATTGTGGATACCGTTGAACGAAAACATGCTTCCTTATCTACGAATTTCGAGAACAAAGACAGAAACCATTCATTCATGTGGCAAAAATAAACATGTAAACTGACGAGAATGTTCCAACATGCTGAGCTGAATATCCTAAATTATCTCAGAGTTAAATGCACTTCAACTTCGTATATTTTACTTCCAAATAGTTTTGCATGTTTTCGCTTTGAATTTTCATCAGGTATTTGTTTACGTCGAGCCAGGCGCATTACACAACTAAACCATTCAAAATACTTTAGAACCACCAGTATACGGAGGATATTTCAATTATGGATACTTTATTTGAAAATCTTATGCTTCGCTAGAATCGGAGATTTGAAATAAGTGGACTTTTTGAATCTCTGGGAAGGCCAGTCAGCCAGCCGATATGTCTTCACTTGTTGAAAGCAACAATCAGAATGTGGATACGGCAGGTCTGTACTATCTACGAGACTTGGAATTCTGCTGAAGTAGCCTGCACCATGCG